GGGGGGGAGTGTGACATCATAGAAAACCAAGTGTTTGTCATAAAGAGTCACAGCTCCTCGGTGTGTGTTGAGTGAAGTGTTCAGACTCCATGTTCCCTCTGATGGAGACGCTCCTCGTGTGTGTGCGGGTAACAGGTGAATCACCTGCTCAGGTACAGAGAGGACAGACAGACGTCTCTGACCTCAGAGACTTTGAAACAGGAAACAAATCAACATGTCGTTTCTCCCCCTTTCTGTTTGTACCTGAGGAAGATTGTCTGTCATGTGACCCAAGAGCCTCTCTGATTCACTGTGTGTGTGTGTGTGTGTGTGTGTGTGTGTGTGTGTGTGTGTGTGAGGGGTCATCCAGGTGTTCTCTCACTCTCTTTAGAAGCAGGTAACACTGTCAGTAGAGATGAAGGCCAGGGGCCCTTAGTAACACTGAGTCACATCAACACTGACCTGTTGAAGGGCCTGGACTTCCTGTCACATGGTGTGATGTAAGAGCTCAGGTGTTTACAGTGAGAGTGTGATCAAAGAAGAAGAACCATGACATCATGTGACTCACTGAGTGATGAAGAAGCCAGGTGGACATGGACCTGAACACACACACAGACATTAATAAACACAGCCAAACACACACTGTTGTCATGGATACACGACATAAAAACAACTCACCTCGTTTAAATGATTCGTTTTCTGAATATATTTAAGATAAATATTTGTATGGCGATAACAGATGAAGTGACAGTGTGTGTGTGTGTGTGTGTGTGTGTGTGTGTGTGTGTGTGTGTGTGTGTGTGTCATGTGACAGCTGCCGCTCAGAATTTTAGTTTTCAGACTAACAACTAGTAAATTTACAGGTCAAACTGTCTAGGAGGGTGATGATGATGATGATGGTGATGATGATGATGATGATAGTGATGGTGATGATGAGGATGGTGATGATGATGATGGTGATGATAATGGTGATGATGATGATGATGATAGTGATGGTGATGATGAGGATGGTGATGATGATGATGGTGATGATAATGGTGATGATGATGATGATGATAGTGATGGTGATGATGAGGATGGTGATGATGATGATGGTGATGATAATGGTGATGATGATGATGATGATAGTGATGGTGATGATGAGGATGGTGATGATGATGATGGTGATGATAATGGTGATGATGATGATGATGATAGTGATGGTGATGATGAGGATGGTGATGATGATGATGGTGATGATAATGGTGATGATGATGATGATGATAGTGATGGTGATGATGAGGATGGTGATGATGATGATGGTGATGATAATGGTGATGATGATGATGATGATAGTGATGGTGATGATGAGGATGGTGATGATGATGATGGTGATGATAATGGTGATGATGATGATGATGATAGTGATGGTGATGATGAGGATGGTGATGATGATGATGGTGATGATAATGGTGATGATGATGATGATGATAGTGATGGTGATGATGAGGATGGTGATGATGATGATGGTGATGATAATGGTGATGATGATGATGATGATAGTGATGGTGATGATGAGGATGGTGATGATGATGATGGTGATGATAATGGTGATGATGATGATGATGATAGTGATGGTGATGATGAGGATGGTGATGATGATGATGGTGATGATAATGGTGATGATGATGATGATGATAGTGATGGTGATGATGAGGATGGTGATGATGATGATGGTGATGATAATGGTGATGATGATGATGATGATAGTGATGGTGATGATGAGGATGGTGATGATGATGATGGTGATGATAATGGTGATGATGATGATGATGATAGTGATGGTGATGATGAGGATGGTGATGATGATGATGGTGATGATAATGGTGATGATGATGATGATGATAGTGATGGTGATGATGAGGATGGTGATGATGATGATGGTGATGATAATGGTGATGATGATGATGATGATAGTGATGGTGATGATGAGGATGGTGATGATGATGATGGTGATGATAATGGTGATGATGATGATGATGATAGTGATGGTGATGATGAGGATGGTGATGATGATGATGGTGATGATAATGGTGATGATGATGATGATGATAGTGATGGTGATGATGAGGATGGTGATGATGATGATGGTGATGATAATGGTGATGATGATGATGGTGATGATATTGATGATGGTGATGAACAACATTTATAAATAAACTGTTTATTTAATAAGTTTGGTTTTTATTTACAGTCTGGTAAACAGTGAAGTCATCAATTATAATTCATGTGTCTTTCATCAGAAAGAAAGGTGTCATGTGATCTTTTTATGTGTTTTTATGGAAACAGATGTGTGTCACTGCAGTGTGTGTCTTGACCCTCTTGGGGGACGTCTCGTCCTCCAGAGGCATGCTGCGTTTCCTGGTGGGGGTCTCCCCAGTCCGGATCATACTGTTGATCTCCTGCAGACGCTGAGGGGGGGTCAGGGGTCAGAGGTCACAGTGTGTTATCCAACATGTGTGTGATTGTGTTTCTTAATGATCTGCTGAATGTTAGTGAACAGAAACTCGCCTGTGGACATTTTGTTTGTCTTTATGGACAATTTGTTTGTCTCTTTGTGGACATTTCATCTCTTTGTGGACATTTTGTCTCTTTGTGGAAATGTTGTCTCTTTGTGGACATTCTGTTTGTCTCTTTGTGGACATTTTGTCTCTTTATGGACATTTCATCTCTTTGTGGACATTTCGTCTTTTTATGGACATTGTGTTTGTCTCTTTATGGACATTTCGTCTTTTTATGGACATTGTGTTTGTCTCTTTATGGACATTGTGTTTGTCACTTTATGGACATTTCGTCTCTTTATGGACATTTCGTCTCTTTATGAACATTCTGTTTGTCTCTTTATGGACATTTCGTCTCTCTATGGACATTTCGTCTCTTTATGGACATTTCGTCTCTTTATGAACATTCTGTTTGTCTCTTTATGGACATTTCATCTCTTTATGGACATTTCGTCTCTTTATGGACATTTCGTCTCTCTATGGACATTCTGTTTGTCTCTTTATGGACATTTCGTCTCTTTATGGACATTTCGTCTCTTTATGGACATTTTGTCTCTTTATGGACATTCTGTTTGTCTCTTTATGGACATTTCGTCTCTCTATGGACATTTCGTCTCTTTATGAACATTCTGTTTGTCTCTTTGTGGACATTATGTCTCTTTATGGACATTGTGTTTGTCTCTTTATGGACATTTCGTCTCTTTATGGACATTGTGTTTGTCTCTTTTGTCGTCTCATTGACTCTTTGAACTCTGTGTCACGAGCTGCCCATTAAAACCTGGCAGGTCCTGGTGATCAGCAGCTGGTGATGAAACTGTGTGTATGTGTGTTTCAGCTGTACGCCGTGTGTTCTTCTTCTCTTCCTGCCTCAGTCACACCAACAGCTCCCCCTTGTGGCCACACACTGAACAACAGGTCACTTTCAACTTTTTATTACATCAGCTTTTTTTTTTTACAATCAAGAAAATCTAATAAAGGTGAAGTTTGTTGGTTGTAAACAACAAACTAACTAACAAACAGATTCAGGAGTAAAAAAAAGGCACTTAACTTACATCAACCTCCATAAAATATGTTTCTTCTCTTTGTACAGATATTTACAGACGAGTCCTCGTCTCAGACAGTCGGGGTCAAACACGAGAACAGGAGGACGACTGTCCAGACAAACACATTTAAATCATCTGCTGGTGTGAAGATGAAGATCAGATTTAATCACATGACATAATTCATCTGAAGCCCTTTAACTGGTGCCACGATGGTGAACATGTTTCACCTGTAAACCAGTTTAACAATGACGGGAACTCCATCAGAGTTTGGTTTTTAGTTTCCTAGAAACACAGAAACTAAATCTCTCAGTTAAGTTGAATAAAGTCAGAGTAAAAGAAATCATCAGAGCAGGACGACACGTCATCACGCCTTCACTTCAGGAAGGAACTTCTAGTAGAAAACTTTCAGAATAAAAGCCCAGGAAACTTCCTGTTTCAGAGGAAATGGACGGAATGAAGAGATTCACACACTGACATGTCACGGGGACACGAAGAAGATCATCAAGACTGATCATTAGTTCAAACCAGAGGCTTCAACTGTCAGGGACATAACCAGCTCTAGGTTTTTGAAATACACTTCCCATCATGCATTGGGGATGTAAACAGCGGCTTCGATCAGCTGTCTGCAGTGTATCATGATGTTTTACTGTGATACTGAAGAAACTTAGAAACAGGAGGATTCTCTGTGAAGTTCTACAGACTCTGTTTCTGTGGAGCTTTATTCTGGAGGGACAGGTTCAGCATCAGGACCTGAACCTCCTCCATGATGTGTGTCTCAGTCACTGCTGCAGCGCCAGGTGCTGACTGTGTTAGTGTAAGTCACCTGGACTCACCTGTCCCTGTTGCCTCAGTTCAAACCAAACACACACAAACATCTGGAAAACTTAAACATGAATGTCTTAACTTTTTAAAGCAACAGACAGAAATCAGTTTCTTTTTCACTTTGGTCGTTTTCAGAGTGAATTTTACAGAACTTCAAAAAAATATAAACATCCTGATATTTTCGTCAGAATTCAGTTCAGTTAATTAATGATGAATGAAATGAAATTAGTTTGAATCAGGTCTGTATTAAAACAACAGTCTGTTTCCATGGTAACAGTGAGATGGTTCTTCCTGTTCAGATATTTGTCTGTTTCTGGTTTTGTTTTTACACTTCAGTGTTTCTCTGGTCAAATGTTTCTCCTCCATGTTTCCTGTTGGTCAGACATGTGACCAACATGTGACCAACATGTGATCACATGACTGCAGATTTATTATTTAAAGTTCTATAAAATTTACGAGTAACCAAAATGCTCCTGAAGAGTCTGACCTCTGACCACGAGTGTGTGTCACTGTGGTGATAGTATGAGAGTGTGTGTGTGTGTGTGAAGTGTGTATTCAGTGTGTGTGTGTGATCTCAGTGGGAGGAGCTGCGGTCATTGGCGACGTCCTGCAGGCGGCGCAGCAGGGCGGAGTGATTGTCAGGACACACCCTCTTGGGGGACGTCTCGTCCTCCAGAGGCATGCTGCGTTTCCTGGTGGGGGTCTCCCCAGTCCGGATCATACTGTTGATCTCCTGCAGACGCTGAGGGGGGGTCAGGGGTCAGAGGTCACAGTGTGTTATCCAACATGTGTGTGATTGTGTTTCTTAATGATCTGCTGAATGTTAGTGAACAGAAACTCGCCTGACTCCTGACAATTCAAAACACGTCACATGATCAAAACTGAATTCAGGAACTCTCAGAGTGCACCCTGGGAGTTGTAGTTGACTCGTCTCCCTCAGGTTTTCTGTTCTCAGATGTTTCATCAGGTTTTTTTATCTGTTGTGATGAGTTTCATGTTCATCACAGAATGGAGCTCAATGAGGAAGAACTCTTCTTCTGTGGTTTAATGTCAGCTCTATTCTCCACAAATCACCTTCAGTTAAGATTTTTGTTAAAATTTGAGTTAAGGTTTCCTTAAAATGTTCCCTTAAGTATTTCAGTTTTCTCCTTATCTCAGTCTTAAACTTCAGGAATCACGTAAAGTCATTTAAACCTTATTGAAGTTCACCTGGTGAAGTTCCCGTCAAATCAACAGAAGGATGAGATCACAGCTTCGGCCTATCACAAGTGCTAATGGCAGCAAATCAACAGTTTCCATGGAAACGGTACTGCTGTAAAATCTCTTTAACTGCTGTAAATGCTTTTTTCTTAAACTAAGGAAACATTTAAAGAGATTTTGCACAACTTCAGTAACTCGCTCAGCTGAGGGGAAGTTAAACTTGGCCTCCCCACACTGTCACATCCTCCATCATCATTTCTGACCAATGATCTTTCTGCTCTTGTTCCTCAAGCCGAGCAATCACTGGATGCCATCTACCTACCACTGTGTGTGTGTGTGTGTGTGTGTGTGTGTGTGTGTGTGTGTGTGGGTCTCACATTTGGGGGGCTGCTGCAGATGTAGTAGTAGATCTTGTCTCGGGGGGTTGTTGGCGAGGGGGCGGAGCCTGTCTTGTGAGGTGAGATGTAGATGGAGTGTTTGCTGGACAGAAGCATCCGACGAGGAGAGCCGATTCTCAGGGTGGGATACGGACAGAGGGAGGGGGACTCCACCTGGACACACACACACACACACACACACACACACACACACACACACACACACACAGTGAACCTTTGAGCCACACAGCAGCTGCATGTGTGGAGCAGAGTGAGGAGGTGAGGCTGACTCACCCCTGCAGAGGGGGAGCTGGGGGAGTATCTCAGAGCAAACAGTCTCATCTGTTTGATGTAAACGTTGTTGTAGAAGTGGATCAGGTCTCCTCGCTCCTCCTCCGCCGAGGAAGACGAGGAGGGGTTCTTGTTGGGTGTGGAGGGGGCACTGCCAGGCTGGGGGGCAGGCAAGGTGCTGCTGGAGCGAATAGGTACTGGACTGTTGTCTCCACCTGCTGGGGGGGTGGGGTGGGGTGGGGGGGGGGGGGCGTCAGTTAATAGCAAATAAATCACCCAGAGTCATGTGGGATAAAAACCTGAAAACTACAGTTATTTATTTTCCCGCCTCCTGATCAGTCGCAGTCCAATGATCCCTCTGTTAGCCCTGTTTGTTTTTTTGCAGCTTTTATTGTGAAAACACAGAGACTGACCCAGACAGGAAGTGAAAAACCAAAACTAGGAGCTAAAAGAGGCTGACAATCTCCAGAGCAGCAGAGATGGAGACAGTTCGCTGTTGGTTCAGCTCCTCTTACACTACAGCTGACTGATCAATATAAAATAGATTGATAGATTTATTGGTTCCATATCAATAATGTCGACCCTGGAGGCAGTGAGGAGGTTTCAGACCTGGATCCAGACTGGTGTCAGGAGACGAGTTCTGTTTGTTTGTGTCGTTGGTGCCGGAGTGACGCCTCCTCCTCCCTGAGATCAACACACTCCTGTATACCTGGAACACACACACACACACACACACACACACACACACACACACACACACACACACACACACACAGACACAGACACACAGACACACAGACACACACACAGACACAGACACAGACACAGACACACACACACACAGACACAGACACACACACAGACACACACACACACACAGACACACACACANCGCAGTCCAATGATCCCTCTGTTAGCCCTGTTTGTTTTTTTGCAGCTTTTATTGTGAAAACACAGAGACTGACCCAGACAGGAAGTGAAAAACCAAAACTAGGAGCTAAAAGAGGCTGACAATCTCCAGAGCAGCAGAGATGGAGACAGTTCGCTGTTGGTTCAGCTCCTCTTACACTACAGCTGACTGATCAATATAAAATAGATTGATAGATTTATTGGTTCCATATCAATAATGTCGACCCTGGAGGCAGTGAGGAGGTTTCAGACCTGGATCCAGACTGGTGTCAGGAGACGAGTTCTGTTTGTTTGTGTCGTTGGTGCCGGAGTGACGCCTCCTCCTCCCTGAGATCAACACACTCCTGTATACCTGGAACACACACACACACACACACACACACACACACACACACACACAGTCTAATGTTAGTCAGAAAAATAAAGACATTTTAAGACACAAACGTCAGACACACCCCCAGACTAACTCGGCAGTAAGACCAGTGTTACCATGGTAACAATCAGTGACACCTGCGCTGACCAGCAGCACTCAACAACAACAAACAGGAAAACATGGCTCATAATTTGTGGTTTGCTAACGTTGTTATGGAGAGAGAAGAGAAACAGTTTTTAGACCAAATCAGATTTTTATTTTTATTGTTTCACTCTTCACTGAATTTTCAAAGTAAAACTTCCTGTAACTCTTGAATTCTTCCTAAAGACAAACACGTTCTGCTGAGGTAAACAGAGCTCAGTGATTGGATGTGGTTCCTCTGCTGCCTTTTTCTTCTCATTTTGAAAAAACTCTTAATTTACCCAGAATTCATTGCACCACACTCCGCTTTATGATAGTAAAGGACTGAAAAAACTAGCACAACATAAATTAGAAATAATAGAATTGAATTGAATAAGAAGAGAGATGTGTGTGATGCACAGAAGTATGAGTAATTATGTGTAAAATGACAAGTGTTATACAAAATTCAATTATTATTTCTAATTTATATTATTGTAGTTTTTATTGCTGAGTTGACCAGATTGTTGTCCAACACATTTCATTGTACTGTTAACCTACATATGACACATAAAGTTAAACGTGAACTTGAACTAAACTGCTTTGTGCAGCAGATGAGTTCAGAGTGTCTGTGTGAGACCAGCTGCTGCTGTTTTTCTTCCTGTGTGTCAGAGTGGACTCACGTTGCTGCTGGCCTGAGGCTGGGTGCGGTAACACTTCATGATGTTCTGAAACGATTTGTCCTCTTTGGTCACCTGACGCAGACAAAGAACACACACCTTTATTTCAACAGAAACACACACACACACACACACTGTGCAGTCAGGTGTTCATACCCCTGCAGACTCACACACACCTTTGCCATGACGTAAACAGCACACATGAGGAGCTGGTCCAGGTGACGGTCCATCATCAGGTCCGTGCAGTGGACCAGAGAATATTCAAAACACGTCCAGATCTTCCTCCTCAGCTCAGACGAGATGTCCAGCTTCGCACAAAGGTCTCTGAGACGAACGCTGGCCAGGTGGTACACCTGAGGGAGGGAAACAGGAAGTCCACATTAACACAGGGTTAGTTAGCTAGCAGCTGTCACTGAGTTAGTCCGTTAGCCTGTTAGCGTCTAATAAAAGTCTGTGGATAAAGTCTGTCACACCTGTCAGGTGATGTAGGTATTGTAGGTGAACAGGTGAGGACCTGTCAGGTGATGTGACTCGTACCTTCCTGAAGAACAGGGACAGCGAGCCTTTTCTCAGAGGACTGCTCGCTGGTTTGGCAGCTGGCTTGGTCACAGCTGATTGGACGGTTAGGGTGCCGGTCAGAGTCTGGGCAGACAGCGGCTGCAGCGTGGCTCCGCCCTGTCCGGTCACACTCACCTGGACGGGGATGAAGGTGATTCCTCCGCTCTCATTGGCTATACCTGCAGAGGTGAGGGTTTATTATTGGTCCTTATCATGTATCATTTCACAGTCGGCTGCATCTCCTCAGTGTCTCACCCTGCACAGGTATGGTGACCGTCTGCCCGTTGTTGGCGGTAACGGTGGCGGTTGCCATGGTGACCACAGTCTGCCCAGCTGGGATAGCTGTGACCAGGCTGGCCTGTCTGGTCTTGGTCACACTGGTTGGCGTTGTACTGGTGGTACTGGTGCTGCTGGTGGAGGTGACTCCGGTCTCACCGTCCACCGGGTCCACAAACAGACGGCGGCGAGCGGTGCCGGTGGGGGAGGAGCTGTAACGGTCCAGCAGAGTGGTGGGGGAGGGGGACACTCCTGTCAGAGGAGGAGGGAGGGGGGCAGAACACATTTGAAAAAAGTTTTTACAGTTATCTTTATGCTGACGAGGTTTGTGGCCTTTTTACACTGAACTAAATTTCTCCTTCTACGGTGTAAAAATGTTTGATTTGACACCTGGATCGTTCATGTGGGAAACTGTGGGAGGATTTACTGCAGAAAATTATATCTCCTTGCCAGAAATGTCAATTCTGAGTGGCTAACGTGTTTTATCAAAAGAGTAATACTACACGCACACGCACACGCACACACACACACACACACCTTTGACAGTGCTGTTGGTGTTGAGTTCAGGTCCGTGGTTCACAGGTGTGTTGGGAACGCTGCCTGTGCTGCTGTCATCGTTTTGTTCCAGGTACTGAGGAGGCATCACCTGAACACAACACGACAGACACACTGAGCCTCCTGCTGTCACTGTGTTAGAGTGTGCGGCGTTGCGTTCACTGACCTCCTGACAGGCTGGGACCAGGTCTTTGGCCCCACGGAGACTCTCCCACAGCGGGGAGTCTCTGGTCCAGGCCAGACTCTCCAGGACCTGCTCCTCCACCTGGTTCAGGTGCTT